TTAAAACCATCACCCCTTGTCCTATCACTACTTGCTCGGCTGTAAAAATCCAGAGACAGGAGCCATTTCCTTCCTCTGGTAAAGATATCTGAAAGTGTTTCCATGGAGCAAGCTCTATGTCATGCACACAAGAGATAAGACTTGTGCCTGGTGCTTGGGGAGGATATATACATAGTTACGGGATTATGCGTGCTGCTGAAGATACACCAGCAGAGATGCATGCCAGCTCCAAAAGTCTTGGAATAAGAGAAAACAAACAAACACTAGAACAAACAAATGCCTCTCTTCTCTTCAGATTCCTTTTCAGGAAACGAAGCACCCTACAAACAAAACACCACAATTACCTTAACAACCAAAACTGTCTTCTGGAGGATGGAGAAAGTGAGCAACTAGAACGAACTGGAATCAGGTTGGATCCAGCTTCTCCACCTATAACTAGTATTTAAAGGTGTTATTTTAAGTAGTTAAAACTTCCTCAGGAACCAATATGTCTTATCAAACATAATAAAAGATTTCAGCAGGTCAATTAAAAAGATCTTATCAGTGAAGAAGGGCTCTTTCAAACTGGAGGGAGACATTTCAGGTGGCATTTCAATTCTCCCCTTCTCTTAGTACACAGGAGCTCGGAAATGCTGTTGGCCATAGCACAGTGAGCGTTCCTTAAAGGCTCCAAAGAATTAATTTCTTCCTGAAATTCTCCTGAGCATCCAATGATGGTATTCACATAGCTTCAATAAGGCAGCACATAAAACCTGACACCCTAATTTGGAACATAAAAAAAACACAAAATATTGAAAAGAGAGTGTTCTGTGAAGGCATAATACCCATCAGGCAAATCTCAACATGGCATCAAGCCTTCAGGGCTTATTCTTAATTTAATATGCAAAACTCTCCATCAACTTCAGCCATCCCAAGCCTTCACGTAAAGAGCAGGATCCACCTCTGCCACTTCTTGGAACGTTCATCAGGAGGCCACATCTCAAAGGCTACAGCTTATTTTCTCCCACTGCCTCTATTTGAGACGATTACGTCTTCTTGCTCTGTCACATGTCTCTGTTCCCGACAGCTTCTCAGATCTACTTCTTTTTTATACTCATCTGGGCTTCTGGGAACTGCACCGCTCCTAACTAGTTTGCAATATACTGCTGCGAGCCCTTTATTAGAGGCACACATGGCCCCTGTTATGATGAAAAATGCTTCTTTTTAAATGCGCACGTATACTGCTCTATCATCACTCAGTGATAGAGCCCACAAATCTTCAGCTTTGCCCTTCTACAGATTATGAAATAAAAGAGAAGAAAAAAAAAAAAGGACATTCTCCACTAGTCAGGAAGGGAGCAACAGTTGGAATTGCATTCAAAAAAAATATACCCACAGACAGAACTTTACAGAAGAACAACACATGGGCATCTATCTGGGTTTTTTTTTTTTTTTTTAAGAAAAACCTACTTTCATTGTTGTTGTTTCCAGGATGTATTTTAAATTATCATGGCTGTAGTTCAATTTTTAGGTCTCAAGATTAGTAAAAACTGTCTTTCAGATGAGAAGCATTTGCACAGAACACAGCTCAGACAAACAGCCACTGTCTCCCACAGTCTGAAAGGCAATAAATACCACACTAGAGATTTCCGATACCGTGTGTGCCACAATTACTCAGCTCTACAGGTTAGTTACCCCTACATGTGCTTCAGAGCTCAAAATCATTTCTCTCTTCTCGACACCTTGTTTACTAACACTGCCTTTATGCTTCTTGTTCTTAACTGCCCACTTCTCAGCCAACAACCTTTCCAAATCCATCGTCTTGCTCCTTCAGCCTTCCCCAGGGAACTGCCAAGCCCAGAAACAACATTTTTAGCTCTTCCTTTGCAAGTTGGAAGCTGTTCCTTCACTTTACAGGCACTTCTGGGGAGGGGACAGGACAAACACCACTTTTTCTTGCCACCTACCATTCAACAGTCAAGAAGCTAAAGGAGTTGTCCCCGCTGATGGAGAATAGCAGGAGCCCAGGACCAGCAGCTCTGCAACCTATTTTTACCAGCTTCCCACCTCAGTGACAACAAACTGGTACCAATCAGAGCTGGGACCTGTCTCCTTTGGAGGTCCAAGTCCACCCTGTGGCACCTTGACTTGCAATTAGCCTACAGTTATTTCAAGGGCAATGGAGGCACACATTTTTATTATTTGATAGCACTTGCTACGGTGTCACACCAGTGTTTTCTGCTGATTCTGCGCCCATGCTGTGTTGACTCTGGAAATACAAAGCTCTTACTGATGGACCCAAACCCTAACAGGTTGCCTCTAACAAGAGGCAGCTTCCAAGTACACATGGAAAAGCATGGGAGCTTGTTAGCCAGGGCACATGACAGAGCATACTGCCAAGTCACAGCAAAATGCGGGCAGAAGCACAACAAAAGCTCACCTGCCTCCCTTCTCTCCTTCCCTTTGATGCTCAGCTCTACCCTGAACTCATCCCCAATGGATGTCCTGCCTCTGACAGCAGTAGGAGCATGATTTGAACTGTTCCTTTGACCTGGGCTCTACCTTATGAAAGGTAAAAAAAAACCTGATTTCTGAAGTCACCTGTTCCTTTATGAGATTAAAACCCAACAATTTTAAGCTTCACACTGCATCCTCCTCCACTGCAGTAGGAAGGGCTGGCCAAGAAAGGTGTAACGTGGGGGCCACAACAGCCTTTCCCTGTTGTGGTGTCTCTCCTGCAAGCTTATCCCTGTGGTACAGGCAAGCAGATCCTCCATCGTGGTTCCTTTACCCTTTCCCACCAGGACTACTCACGTGGCCATGCTGATCCAGCTCGTTGTTGGTGAGTTTGACTTTTTCGAAGGACACCATCTGCTTCAGCAGTTGCTCGCCCGTGAATGGGGAGTCAGGGTGCACGTACAACCTAAAAAACACAGAGAAAAGGCCTGCTGATAAAAAAACCCATCTCACCTCTTGGCTTGTTTGTGAGCACCACCTCTATATGAAATTAAAAAGCCCGTAACATCTTGCTTTTGGCATGTGCAATGCTTTCACAGACATGGATTTCCTGAGAGCTTGAGCTGCTACTCAAACAAGACACACACAATCTACCCCAAATTAATGAACGCCTGGAATATGACCATTAATGAAAGACAGTAAAGCAGACAAGTTGTTTAATTCACTGGAACATAATGCAGAATCCCGTGTCCAAGTGCTAGACTGCTCTCTAACCGTGCCTATTATTTTATCTAGTTATCTAAAATGGAGACATTAACTAACATTCGCTGTTGTGTCTTTTCCCAAATGAAAAATTGATCACGTCTTTCCCCACAGCTGTACTAACAAGCACTTAAAATAACAATGACTACAGCTCCGAGAGAAAAAACATGGTGTCATTAGAGAGATAATGAGGGAACGTAGATAAAAATGCATTTTTCTTTATATGTAACATTAAGCCGTGATAATGATTTTAACCTGCACTCGATCACACATTAGCTGTGGTGACGTCTGTTTATAAGAGGTTGAAGGCTGCAGTCCAGCACAGTGGTCTGACATGAAAAAAATAATTACAGCTCTGTAATTGACAATCCACCACTTGGGAAATTAAGCAGAGGAAAAGGAAGCACAGAAGACATGCAGATACAATGCTATATACATTATGAAAAGACTAATTACAAGTGTCAGGCTATTTAAAAACAATTATTTTGTAAGAATAACGCATTGCTGCAAATTATTTAACTCAAATGTTCTTTTCTGATAGTGAATTAAGAGCTGAACTAGACCTTCAGCTAACACAAACTGGACCTGTCCTGCTTCTGTTGGTGCTGGTTATCACTGCTGAGGGCTTGACTTTAATTTCGGGTGATGTCTTTGGCCACACAGATGGATTGCTTCCAGTAGGTGAATGGGATGGTGCTGAGATACCAGGTTAAAAAGATAAACAGTTGTTGTTGTTGTTGTTGTTATGATTTTAGTTAGGCAAGAGGAGAATGGAAAAACCACTAAACCAGGAGGTGTAACTCTCTGATAGACTACGCTGATCCCTAATCAAAGAGTGTCCCTACTAAAGACTCCGGGGAGCACAGCTCTGTTGCTCAGAGGAAGGAGATTTGATCCTGTACTTTTTGGTTTTACCAGCAGAATCTCCAAGACAGACTGAAACTCTAATTTTACTGGCAAGGCTTGCTTCAGATGTGCAGGATGTTTTCCTTACGCTGATCTGAAGCTCAGTTTGGCTGGTATAGCTATGTCCTCAGGAGGGATGCTGAGCCAGGGTTCCTGTTGCAATAAAATATTCCTGCCATACAGGCATCCTCACTGCTATCGACTCTGCTGATTGCACTGCAAGGCTCATGAAAAATAATGATGTATCTGAAAACCCCAAACCTGGAATCCTGTTTTGGCAAAAGAATTCTACCTCTCATGAAAATTAACTTTACCTTCCTATAAAAAAAAGTGAAAATCTCAATCTGTAGAGCCCTGAGTTAGAGAAGGTAAAACAAAAAGAGTCTCAAATATATACTGCAACTTTTGAGCCAGTTTTGTGATTCTTTTTTGTTTCTTTTTTTTTGGAGCCTGACTCCTTATTTTGAATGTCTAGATAGTTAACAATGTTTGCTGTGATCACAGAGTGTCAGGCTGAGCAAGGTTTGGCTAATTGGGACCAAAAAGCTAAACTATTTCAAATATGTGCTGGGGAATGAGTAAAGATCTTCATCATGTCTAAAAGCTTGAGTGCAATTGTTTTACTCTATAGGCAGTTAATGCTTGGCACTACTTTCAAACTGCAAAGTGCTGGGATGTTAGCAGAGTGCTAACGGGAAAGTCAGGAGTGAGAACCTAAATATTAGGTACATAAATGTATTAATAGACCTCGCTTTTCTTTAGTCATTTGCTACACGTCCTTGATCCCACTGCAACATGTGGTTCTACCTGGTGATCTACACCTATCCACACATTTCTCCTACAGCCTGAGCTTGTGGAGAAGAGGGTTGGAAACCAAACATATTGCTGTCTGAAGTAGAAGAAGTCAACGAGACCAATAGCAAAAGGGTTATAGAAATAAACGTGCACATTCCAGGGCAGCACACGAGGCTCCAACAGAAGTTTGCGCAGGCTCTGCTGCCTAAGGCTGGCCAGATGCGAGGGGCTTCTCACTTGCTTCAATTCACAAAGGCTTTAGGAGCCATATTTGGATGTGAATTTGCTCCACAGTATAGAATGTTTCATGATATATGCATGGTTTGGGTACTGCTTCCTTCTTGCATATTTTGGAATGCAACGCCGCTCTCCTTCTGTTTAGTTTAACAGTTGGTCTGGTCCTACAAGCCGTGTGCATGCTGCTTTTAATTACCTTAATTCCTCAGATAATTTGCAAATATCTCAAATAATTTGCAAAATATAATGCCTTTTATAAGTTTCCTACCTAGAGTTCTCTGTAAGTGTGTAAACACTAACTTCCTTAAGCAAATCATTGTAGCCAAATACAGTATAAAATAATAATTATTAAAAAAAAGACAGGCTTTTGTTTGAAAGAAAGGAGGTGAAAAAGGAAGAAGAGCAAATAAAGGTACATGCTGAAGCTTATTAAACTGATGTTTCACACAGTCTTGGCAATTTGGAAGAACAAACATAAAATACCACATAGGAATTCTATTCCCAGATTGCACTTTAGAAGATTTATGAGAGATTCTCTGAGAAGAATTTTATTTAAGTAAAAAAAAAAAAGTTGTCTTAGCATTGAAAGTTATTTTTATAATGGAAAAAGCAAAACATCTAACGAGTTGGATCCTGCATATTCTTACACCTATGTGTGACGTGACTCCTGAATAATTCCCTGATGCTGTTGTGCCTCTGCAGATGCAGACAGTGATGTGCAGGGGGAGTTAGCACCTTGGTACCATCGCCCACACATACAGCCCTCGCTGACACTCCTCGGGTAAGGAGAGCTGAAACCATGTGTTTGGGGGACAAGAAATTGTAACTTCATTAAGGGCTCTTGTTACTGGAGCAAGACCAAACCTGTTTCAAGATGGGAGGAATACTATTTTTAATCTGTTCAAGCGAGACCGAGGACTCCCTCTCAAAAGATGCATTAACACTTCAGAAAAAAAACCAAACCACACTAGTAATGCAAACATCAGCACGCTGAACCCCTTGACTTCCTTTTTCTCACCAAACAGAAGCATAAGGAGAAAGTGCGTAAGTTTATATATGTAAGTACCCTTCAAACAAAGAAAAAGTGATCTGTGCCTATGCTAGGATCAATACTCTCTTGGCTAAGCATCCTGAAAATGAAACAGGACAGGTATACAAATTACATGTGGGGCACTGATCTGATGGGGACCTTAATGAGCTACTGCAGTGTGATGATAATAAATATTAAACTCCAAGAAGGTTTGAGCCCAGCTCTAAAACTGTCAGCACGGCAGTTGCTAATTATTCCAAGGATAATAATTCTCTTTTCTTATATTCTTGTGAGTATTTCCTCATTGAGTTAGTCTATGCCAGGATAGTGTAAATTAAACATCTTTTTAAAGGTATCCCAAAAGGCACTTGAACAGAAAAACAAGGGGAGAACCCTGCCTTAAAACTATTTCTGTCCTTCCCTTATTTCTTCTTTTGATGCTGCTGACTCTTTTGGAGTAGGATCTGTGTTTTTTTCTTTGGGTTTTGATCAGTGCCCATTACAATACGTCAAATGAAGCCCTCAGACGTTAACCACATTGCAAGAAGAAGTTTTTGGCCATGAAAACAAAGCTGACATAACTCCTAGGTTGCTGTCTTTAATCACAGCTTCTTTGCATACGCTTTTTGTTTGTTGACTTCCCTGAGCCGCCTTCCAGAGATCAGCAGTCAGCAAGATTTCAGTCAAACTATTTATAGGAGAAAAGCATCCAGGATTTGGTCCCTATACTCACATAAAAAATAAAAATAAAAAAATTATGTGCTTCCACTTCTTGTGTTTCACTTCTAATTTCTCTCTTTGTAATAAGCAAGTTCTTAACCCAGGGCTAAGCCACCTGGAGCAGATCTGTGTGCCTGCATAGAGCCCGCCGTGAAAGTTTCTTTGAAGCCAGAGAAGCATCCACATTATTTCCATATCTCGGGCTCTGACTCAGCAAAGCCATTCGACATGTGCTTCAGTCTTACTGGGGAGCTTAAGTGCATAGAGAAGCGCTGAGCCGAATACGATGAAGCGCGGGGCTCCGCTGACGTGCCCTCCGACCATACAGCCTAGTTCTGTAGCCTCAGTTTCCCCGATGCCGAAAGGAGCCAGACATTAATTACATTAACAAAATTATTTTAGAAACCATTTTTCTCCAGCAGTTTGCTTCTGCATAGAAAAAAAGGCAGGGGGGGGAAATTTACTTGATTTTTTTTCTTCCTAAGGTCTCAGAAAATGCCATGATTTCTTAACATTAAAAAAATAAAAAATCTCTGTGATGTAGAACTAATCCATACTTTGCCTGCTGTCTAAGAGATGACTAAAAGCAAGAATAAAATTATCGGTTAGCAAATGCTGGATGTGTATCAAGAAATAATATCATTTCAAGCATAAATGGCACTGAATGGTAATGTAGTATTTCTACTTGGACTTGGCTGGTGGTGCTTGGATTGCTTTAAATTATGAGGTCAAATACTGGGGGGGTCAAACCCAAGAAACAAATCTGTATTTTTTTTTTTAATTTTCTTATTGGAATTGAGGCAAACTTCATTAAAAAAAAATTTTATATATATATACATACACACACGCATGCACACACACTTATATACATATATATTTTAAAAATACATATAAATATATACATTAAAAAGAGCCTTTAGCCAAATCCTGCACGCCTTGGAATATTTGGTATAAATTAAACCTCAGAGATTTGTGGCCTGATTCTGCATCACAGAAAATCAGATTTTTGCAATATCAACTTTGTCAAGCCCAGACTCAAAAGTCTCACAGCGCTGCTTGCAAACGGCATGAAAAGATTAATAGCAGGCATTTCTTGAAGGAAAAGAAAATTTAAAAAGGAAAGAAAAGAAAAGAGAGACCATCAGTAAAATGTACAAACCTTGCAGGGAGCGGAGGGTCAGCTTTTCCAGCCACTAACCAGGATGACCTGTGGTAGGCATATCTATATCTTTTATTGTCCACAGGAACTATATCCATTAACACAATGTACTTGGCTTCAGGATCCACACCCGAGAAGGAAACCCTGATCGTAGGAAACATTCTCCTGAAATAAAATGCAAATGAGAAAATAAATATGTGGATGGAGAACAGAAATAAGAGCTTCTGAAAAGCTGCTGCTTCTGAAATTCAGAATTATATTTAAACCACCATTAAAAAAAATTAAAGCATCTATTGATTCTGCTTCAGCACGATAGAAGTTAAGTCCTGTCTATCTTTAATATGCACAGAAAGTGCAGCTTGAAATCAGAACGATTTTTTGGAAGCAAAATCAAAAAAAAGGGAAAAGTGAAAAAGGAGAAATGTACTTTTGCCTGTTGTAACAGAGTACCCAGCGATTTCAGAAAATAGTTGCATCTAAGGTCCACGAGTCCTTAGAAACATGGATTTATTTTTTTTATTTTAATGTGATCCATACTAGTGTTAGGGAAATACTGTAGAAATTACTTCTATTAGAAGTTATGTGAAGTTATTAGAAGCTCTAATTACTTCTATTAGAATATGTGTTAATATTCTCACATATTTTAGATGCATGTTCTTTTAAGCCTGCTCACAATATTTCCAAGAGGAATTTTCAAGACTAAACTTTCTTTTCTTCACTTAAATTTTGATCAAGTGCGACTTTAAAAGGTAAGGTTTTGCCAATGGCTAAAAATTAAGTTAAAGAACTTTAAACAGTTTTAAAATCTGAACTTCAATTTGCAGATTTTATATGCATTTTAAAATAAAATAAAATTAAAAAACCCAAACACATGCTGGTAGAGCTTGCTAGTCAGGGTAAAAAAAAATCATCAGGGATCTATGTTGATAAAAAGTAACTTTGGGGATTACAAAACCCGACAAGACATTAGTGACCCAAACCCCAAAGCTTTACTGAAGCAAGGGCACGGCTGGAGGCGACCAGAAAGCCCGAGATTCTTTTACACATTATTTTAAACCGAAGGAAAACCAAACTGAACCAAGTCCTGACCGAGTTCTGCCCCATGACCCCACATTTCCCTGCTTTCCCAAAATAAAAACTGCGGGTTTGGGGGGTTTTGTTGCCTTTTTTCCCTCCCCTCCAAAGCCACCGGTGCCCGGTGGAGCCCCGGGGCTGCCCAGCCTTACCTCCCGGATTTGGTGATGATCATCTCGGTACCCAGTTCGTGAAACTTGTCCCAGAGCTCTTTGGTCTCCAAGCTGCAGGAGATTTTGGCCATTTCCTCGCTGGGGATGATGGGGGTGGTGGGGATGAGGGGTTCGGTGCACAGGGATGAAGGGCTGGTGCTAAATTCCCCGTGAGGATCCAGGCTGGACAATTCACTCAAAGGTTGGGCGCAAGAGGATTTCTCAACGAATTGTTCTGCAAAGTTTGAGAGAGGGAATTAAAAAAAATAAATTTTAAAAAAAGGAGGGGAGGAGAGAAAGAAATGCCAAGTGGCTGAAGAGACAGGACAAAAGGGGGTTTCCATTTCAGGGGAAAAAAAAAAAAAAAAAAAAAAGGGAATTTATGGTTCAGCTGCCTCCCCTCTGGTCCAGCACATCTCAGATTTAGGTGGTGATTTTAGGAGATGAGCTCCGAGAAGGTCCCGAAGCGGCACCTCTTCCCGCAGCCGCGCGCGAAGAGCTGCGCGATGCGCGGAGGGGCAGGGCGGGTTCTGCGCACCGAGGGTTTCCATGG